GCCAAGTTTTCGAACGCATCCAGCGGCCACGACACGAGGACGCTCTTAGCATAGCCCTAGCGACGGAACTCCGTTCGCATGTTGACGCGGGGGATACAAGCAACTCGGGGGTCGTCGTACCAAAATGAGCCGGGCAACCTCGACGTAGGCGATTTCCCAGTACAAATACGTTCGACGGACGGCCGTACACCGGTCGAGCATGTTTCAGTGCGCCAGCTGAGGTGGTCCTGGCTGCCTGATTCATTCTCTATCATGGCAGCCAAATCTTGCGCGGTAGACAACGTAGCAATGTGTTCGAAGCGTTTTCCCGTGTCGCTGCAGGTTGTGCAGCGTCGCTGACCTGAATGAAGTGGCCCAAAATTGTTTTGATTGGTTAAAAGGTTGGAAACTTGGAGAGGGCGTGCCAATGAAAACCGTATAACGTTATGGAAATATTTATGCCGCTACCGCGGTTGAAACATTTTGAGATATGCGCTGGTCTCGACCCTCACTCTCGTGGAATCGAAATTTCGACGAGTGTCCTGTCAATGTATACTACGTGTCACACGGCACGCAATTCAAATCATCGGCGAGCTTTACACGCCACCGAAATGCATGGCAAAAGCTCCAAGAGGCAAATGTTTCGCCAGTGGCCCTTCCACGAAATCCGCAACAGTGCAGCACTCACAAGGACTCTCCAATGGAACCAGATCGATCGAAAAGCCAGATCAGCGTGTCCGTTAGCGACCTATAGGGCAGATGAACGTGTCCCAAGTGGAGCTGTCGCCGAGGGTTGGCGATGGAAAGCACGACCGAGAGACGTGGCTTCATGAAACAAAAATCGAAAGCGCTCATGTGGATGCTAAATGTGTAGAACATGAAGATGCTCGCACGACAATTCACGCGGGGCATCAAACAAGAATTGGCGCCTTGCGGACGTGACAATTGGTACGCAGGATCCTCCAAACGCCGACGAATTAAGCAAACTTGGAAGGTTTTTGCAGATCTGTGATTGGTAAAAATAGGACAAATGCACGAATCAAACAAGAGAATGGATTTTATTATAGCCAATCAAACGTCCTATCGCACCGTTTTTCAAACATTCAAAGGACAAACTCACAAGCGCGGGAGTCGGCGGTGTCGGGACAGATGGACAACAACACCGTGGATGGCGCTGTAATGATGAGTTCCTCTGCGTGTGGGTACGCGATAGACTTTGGCGATGTTTTCCAAAAGAAGAACAGCAGCTCATCCCGCGCTGCGTTGATGACGTCGTCCCACATTGGGAACAACGAAAACGTCCCCCCAGCAAACTCCCGCCATGCAGAGAGTACGTTCCATCCACCTCGCGTTGGTGGTACAAAACAATGGCAACTACCGCATTACAACTCCATCGAAGAGAACGCAGTATACCTGAACCGTCAGCTTGAACTCCAGCAGTACGGCGTCCACGACGCATTCACGTCTCTCGTGTTTCGTGCGTCGTCGCAGGACGACGATGCCGACATGCGGCGCATCATGGATTGCATGCACTGGCTATTACATTCACGCCGCGAGGAAATGCGCAAGTCAGACGAAATGGCTGAGCAATTCATCCGATACGAAAAGGAAATCCATCGGAAGAACAACCAGATTCAAACATTGACCGCACAACTTGAAGCAGAGCGCAAGGTTGGTTCCAGCTTGATGTGCATGCTTCTCTTGAACGCTTCTGCACATTCTGTAGACTTGTTCCGACTTGGAAAACCAGTTGACTGCAAAGGATGCCGCGTACACCAAGGAGCGACTCCAGTTCAAGGAGGAGAAGCGGGCGCTCGAACGAAAGTGCATTCAGTAAGGCTGCGACTCTTCATCTCGCCGATCGCTACCATACCTAATAAACCCCACCCCATAGACTGACCCACGTCGACACCAACTACAAGGCGCAACTGCGCAAGAGCGAAGTCAGCTACGAACGACTGCAGAAGCAATACAACGCGTATTTGAACAAAGCCTCCACAGACAAGCGGGTACAGACCTCTTCCATGGCATTCGCTGTATCATCTTACCACAAACGCCTTGCCTACCTTATCGGAAATATTGATAAACTTCAACATGACAGGGCATGGCGCTGGGAAAAGAGTTGAACGGAAAGCAGACGTGCCACCAAATTCGCAACTCGACGTCGAACCAGTCCAAGACTTCTGGCGAGCACAATATCATCAACACGGTACAGTGTTGGAGTCTTGCTCGACACAAACGTGACGTGAATTTTCGTGGTGGAGTAGATGATTCGGTCGTACGAGTCGCAACACTTGACACTTCTCCAAGAAAACGATTCCCTGCGGGCGCAACTGGCTCAGTTTTACGCCGAACTCAAGCAAGCCATGGCAGAGTACCGCGCGGCCGCCAAGTGGTTTCTTCACCGGTGCGTACAGCGCTACTATCGTCCCGTCGTTTGGATTCATGGTGAATTAGCCATGGCAACGACAATCAGCAATGGGATGACCAGCTGCAATTGCCAGTCGTGGATGAGTCGAAACTGGTCCATGCATTTACCATGCCACTGCGAAACGGTCCTGAAAACGTCCTGAATGTCCTGGAGGACCATGTTTCGATGCTGCGATCGAAAGTACGTCGTGCAATCAAATACATCTTTGCGTGCGACGCAATCGAGCGACATCTGCATCAACTGAACAGTTTTTTGGCATGTATATCATGGAGTGGGTCCCGTTATTGTGTGGTAGCCATCGCTCACAACGACTCGTAAGCCTGTTTCTTAACAGTTGGCGTTGTTGTATGTAGATTGCCTGCCTGATGGATGCGACACAAGACCGCGAACGAAGTGCTCTGGAAGCACGATTGCAGGAAGCGTACCAGGTGATGCGAGACCAAGACGCGATGATCCAAGTGGCACTCACACAGGTCGCGGCGCACGAGAAAGACCCGAGAAGCGCTCGACTGGACCTGAGCGGTTTGGAAGACATGCTGGAGGAAGTTGCGTTGGAACGCCAAGAAATTGCTATCAAAGCGCAACATATGGAGACCGAGCGAGAGCAGTACATGGTCCAGGCCGAACGGCTCGACAAGGACCGACTCGAGTTCGAGGTAAAGCGGCAATGCCCTCTGTGACGTTGTTGGTGGATGATTTCGTGGCGAAATGTACACAGCTGAAAGTTTCGTGGTTTCTGTCGTAGTTTGAACGTCACGCCATGGTGACAAGGGGCGCGAACCAGGCGGACATGTTTGCAGAAGGCGGCAAGAAACGGCTGCGCATGGACTTGACACCAACGCAAAACACCCGCCGCCAAGAATCGGACCAGTCGCCATTTGGATCGACCAGTGGAGGGTCTGGATTGCCCCTTCCACGTACGTTGTACTCTAGTCGATGCGTGTATCAGGTGGTGGTTCATGGAATCAAACTTTCGTAGCGACGCCGGCGACAGCGAGGCTGTTGGAGCGGATTGGCATCCTCCACGACGACCAAATGATGAGGTAGGTGTCGAGCCTAGGTATGCATAGTGTTCCTAACAATATTGTAGTCCGATCGCAGCGCCGCGAGGGTAAATGTTTTCACCCATGGCCCCAACATTTAGGTGGCATCTCTATTATTTTATGAACAACGTCACGCTGAGTGCCTGGGGCTCGTATCTCTGGGTTCTTTGGACCGGGAAGGGGTTGAAACGGGGACATGGGGCGTCTACCTTGAGAGGAAAAGGAATAAAGGCATGACATCGTGTGCCTTCAGCGCAATCCTTTTTATCCCAGAAGTGCCGTCGAGGGGGTCGTTAGCTGCGATGGGAAAATGGGGTCGTACGAGGGACTTTGTCTGATGTAGAGAACATAAATCAGTGTGAAGGTGGGCACGTGATCACCAATCTGCCAAGCACCGTGGCTGACGTCGTTGGCCTTGGACGACCACACAGATGCAATTCACTGGCACGTAACGAGGATCCATTGCACACTTCGTGTACCCTGTAGGTTGCCACAAATGTCACGAGCTCAGAGCGCTCAACACAGCGCATCCAATCTGCGGAGGCGATGCGCAATACCTTCCTTCGGATGCACTGTCGTCTCGAGCGACCATTGTGGCAAGGACAAGAGCTGCCCCACGCGGCATGCGAAAAATGCGCGGCGGAAAAAATCGACGGTGTTGAGACGTGTGGACGAACTGCACAACATGGTCAAAACTATTTTTGATGGGAATAGCTATCGAATATTTCGACTAAAGTTGAGCTGGGACAAGGGGAGAACATCCAACGTGGGAGTCCAATTTCTGCGAATATTCTGTCTCGTCCTCCGAAACTTCGATCGAAGTCGTTCTCGCAGGACGCGATCCTGGTGGACGCTTGCTTCTGCGATGCAGAGACCAAGAAGGGCACTCGAGGCGGCATTCGCTGCTCCCACTCATGTCTGCATTTTACTCGGGGACGCATGTCGGGAGTCCAGGTCAATGCCGTCTCAACGACGGGGGGGGGCATGAGATCCGAAGAGTCCAAGTGTATTCTCGTTTCTTGTTTTTCAAACTATCGTGGAAAGATGAGCAATACTCGCGCATATTGCACTCGTCAAGTGGTCTCTCCATTTCTATGATGCCTACAAACACATCATAGAGCCATTTCTGCCTACAAAGTAGAATCATCTCGGCCCCGAGGCCATGGTGGTGGTTGGGCTCGCCGGCCGCGGGGTCACGGTGCGCCGTGGTACTGGTATATGCATGCACATGGAGAAGGACTTCGATCGAAGTTTCGGTGGACTGTCGCGACAGTTCTCAGAAATTGGACTCACGAGCCGGATTTCCTCGGGATGGGGTTGGCAGTTCGTAAAGTGCGCCGCCACGGCGTTTTTCTCTTCCGCACACGATGCAGCCATCGTGCGTGCCGTCCAGGTCCGGACGACAGCCTTGGCCGACGACGGAATCGAACGTGTTTGCAAAGATCACCACGTCGATCGTCACGTCGAAAGTCCCGAGCTTGTTTGCGACCCAGGGCACGACCGTGCATGTGATCGAAGTGACGAACACAGTCACGAGGAACGCTTTCCGAATTGGCAAGACGTTCCACGACTTCGACGATTTCGTGAAGCAGCTGCAGCGTGTATTGGCGAGCCAAGAACACTCTCCGTGCGACAACCCAGGATGTACGACCTTGCTCGAGCTGACCAAGGAACGCATGCCGTCGCGTACCCTTATTTCTCGGACTCCCGAAGTCGCGCGTCGCCGTGAAGAAAACTTCCAGAGCCTTATGGACCTTTGGTTTTCATTCATCAACACGTCTCGGGAAAGCACATGCCGCACAGCGTTGGCAAACATCCCAAACGCTCTCATCGTGTTCTTGTTTGACGGCGCCAAGATGAACACACTTCGATTTTGGGTGCCACGGTCACGCAGTCATCGCGGTAAACGCATTCCTCGCGGAGTGCTCAAAGAAATCATGCGTCTCGCCGAGGATGAGCGGCAGCGTGCTGCCGCGGCTGCTGGCCACCACCATGTCGACGAGGCGTCCGCGGAGGTCATGGCCGACAACGACACCGTGCTGTCCGTGTTTCGATCGTGTGGCAGCACCATTCACGACAACGACAACGCGGACGAAGAATCCCACGAGGAACTAGCCATCCATCTCCAGAACTTGCGCATTGCAATCCACCAAGTCAAAGACCTCGACCAGCTCGCACACATTGAGACGGACGTGCTAGCGATGATGCATCAGCAGAGGTCGCACCTCCTGTCCAACGCAGAAACCAGTCACGAATACAGCGGCGCCCAGCCCACTCCTTAACTCAGTAGGAATTTGCTTACCACTGTGCCTTGTGGAGGATGTCGTACACTCAGTGCCTTACACAGCGCTTCCGCCTCGTTAGCGCGTGCCAGGGCTTTATCTTTGCGACGCAATGTCTTGCACGATCTCCCGGGCGTGCAAGCCCCGCACGTGCGTCGGGAGTACTTCCAGCAAGGAAAGGTTGATCTGTAAGTACAGTTGCGTGGATTGAGTGCGCTACTGTTGTCGTAGTCATGGCGGAATATGGATGTAGTTGGGCGAGGTTAGGCATGGACGAGGCGGTGAATGAGCGCCTCGCCGTTCTCGCCACTTACAACCATCTTGGCGTGGCGGACGAGCGCTGTATCAACTTCGTTCTTCTTGGAAGCGTATTCGAATTCGCGCTTGACAGCTAGCGCTTGAGCCGAGTTGGCTTCGGCGGTGGCAGCGGCCAAAATGCCCGCCGCCGTCTTTTTCGCGACATCGACCAGGGCCTGTTGCCTGATCTCTTCGGCCTTTACGCGCTGCTCGTACTCACGTTGGGCGGCGACGAGCAGCATCATCGCGTCATTGCGTTTTTTCGTTGCGGCGGCGGTCGCGGTCGCGAACGCAACATCGCGCTTTCCCTCGGTCGCGAGAATGAGCGCGGCGTATTTTGCCTTTTCGTTGATGCACGTGACTTCCATCTTGCTTTCGCTGTCCAGGATGAGCTTCTGTCGAGAAATGAGCTCCCGCTCCTTCTTTGCCACAAGATCTTTAATGTTGCGGTCGTTGGCCTTTTGGATCGCCGTGAGAAGCTTGGTTTCGTCGTTCAGAAGCATGCGCATGTCGTTCTCGTGCTTCTTTTCCTGCTCCTCCATTTTGGTCTTGAAAGCAGTCGTCTTTTCGAGGGTGGCCGACAGCCGGGTCGGCAGCGCTACGTTTGTAACCTTAACGTTATGGATCACGACGCCGTGTGCGACGAGCTTGTGATTCAGGTCCCGCTTCATCTCGCTTGCAAACTCTTCGCGCAGGTCATGGACTTGATCGTGGCGCACCGAATGCACGAGCCCGCGAATGCCCTCGGCTGTCAGCATCGAGATGAGCTCGTTGAAGCGCTGGGCTCCAAGCATGTACACAAACTTGACCGCGTCGTCGGCGGTCGGGCCAATTTGAAAGTTGATCGAGATGTCAATGTGCACCATCACGTTGTCGGACGTTGGGCACCGCTCAACCTGGACCGAGTACGCGACGGCGTGCTTGGTCACGATGTGAGAGACGCGGTTGTACGCGGCCCACACCGGGATCAACCCCGGTTCGAGGATCCCCGCGTGGGCGTTCCACTTTTGGTACAGCACCCACATCCCCGACGGAATGCGCACGAACGTGTCGCAAAAGTGGGGGTACTTGGGCACGAGGACGATCGGGATGCTGCCGTCCTTGGTCTTCTGGTTGAAGTGGGCTTCCGCATGGAGAGGCTTGCGAATCGTCTGTTGGACGACCATAGTATGCTTGGGTGGGTTCGACGGTGTGCTCATGGCAGCGTGAGTTAGCAAATGCGCCAACTCAAACACTGCGCGAACGACAGGATCTTGTTGCAGAGCACCCAGGCGTTGTGGCGCGTGCTGCGAGTTGATTCCAACATTTCTCTGTGTCGCGTGAGGATCAGTTGCTCCAATTTTTCGTGGATCCTGGGAACCTTCTGAAGATGTCCGCGATGAAAACAAATAAAAATATTCGATTGGACGAAAGATGTGGTATTCTTAAAAATGTAGCCAATCAAACATTAGAAAATATATTTTGGTTTAGTAGAAGTTGACAAGCTTGGCCAGTGCAACCAGGCAAACCAAGTTGAGTGGCGACATGGTGGCTCCATGCAAGCGTCCGTCAGAGCTACGACTTCGAAGGCTTGGTGACCGTGTTCGTGCGCGCGGCATGCTACAGGACTGCGCACGTTGTACTTCTCAACATGGTCTGCTTCGCACGAATGATCAGCATCGCACATGGTGGCAAACCTTCCAAATTATTTGACATCTATGGACGATTTGGAATAAAAATACCTCGTGAACGTTCAACGTGGACGATCGTGAGAATTATATCCACTCGTTGGACGATCTTGAGAAATACTACTCTGATTGGGAACCAGACAAGTCAAAAAATTCATCTTCCTCTTTTCTGATTGGTCTAAAATTGCGAAAGGTCAATGCAAAGTTCCCATACAAAATCCAAGTCAAATTTGACCGATGACCAGCAAGGGGCGTTTGTGAAGATCTCCTTTTAAAGAGTGTGAACGGTAAGCTCTCGCGAGTTGCGATTGCAGCAGTGGCTAGAGACTTCAACTACAAGATTCCTCGAAGCAAAGACAAGAATGACGACATGCTCAACTTGGAGCTTTTGGGTCAGCGTATTGAAGAAGAGAGCCGCCTCGAAGAAGTGTATGGCCTTGTAAACATCATAGAGGTTTAATCTTTTTAAATACAGATTAATTATACTATGATTTTGTATGACTGTGAATGTTCGTCTGGAATAGTTCCCAATTAGACTGTACGTACCCTAGTCGGAAGAGGTCGTGGAGCTTTTTTGGATGCGACGACCCAACGACGAATGAGCTCGAGCATGGTCTCTTCGCATCCCACGGCTGCTGCTTTGATCGACGTTCCCAGGACAGACTGTGCGACTAGCTGTCGACCACATCAACCTGCGAGCAACTCATTTTTCAACTCGTCACCATGACGGCGACCACGATATCGAGATCGACGGACAAGACGCAAACGCACCTCCTGTTCGACCACATTTGGCGAGTCGATTCGGCCAACAAGAGGTTTGGCGAGTGCGCCGATGGGAGCACGGTCGTGATATTGCAGCCTGGCCGGAGCCTCGTCATGCCATACATCCGCATTCCGGACGGCATGTACGCAATTGTCCAGCACCACGGCAAGGATATCGATTACGTGCACCCCGACGGGTCGGCCAGTCCAGTGTGGCCTGCGGGGTTCCATCGGGCGTCGATTTTCACCAAAGTTGCCTACCTCGTGACCAAGCAGTACGTTGTGTTTGACACGCCCGTGAAGGGATGTAAAACCGCCGACGACGTCACGGTGCAGATCGACATGTGCCTGGTGTTTCGCATCACTGGGGACGAGTCCAAGGGGGAGGACCCGAACTTGGTGAAGCGATTCGTGTACGAGATGGGCCCGCAAGGACTGGAAACGCAGCTCCGCGACGCGCAGGAAGAAGCGGTCCGCGCGCTGGCGCGCAGTGTCCAGCACACGGAAGTGTACTCGTTGCGCGATGGGACAGTCAAGGAACGGTTCAAGAATGAGTTGCAGCTCCGCCCTCCGGCGCCCCTCTCCCCCGTGAACCACGACGACGAGGAGAAGGACGACGCCCCGTTGATCGGCCCCCGCATGGCGCTCAAAGACGCTGACACTGGCGACGAAGGGCACTGGGAAGAGCCCCCCGCGGCTCGAGTCATTTACTGCGTCACCGAAGACATGAAGAACAACCTGAACAAGCAGTTCAACCCGTACGGCGTCGAGATCACGAGCGTCGCGATCACCAACGTCAAGTTGCCGCCCAACTTTGAGTCGCAGATGGAAGAAAAAACCACGTACACGAGCGCAATCAAGGAGCAAACCATGAAGCAGCAAAGCGACATGCAGCTGCTGCAGTACCGCGAAGAGATTGACACGACGAAATTGTCCAAGTCGATGATCCGCATGGAGGAAGAGGAGACGGGGCGACAGCAGTGCGCCGAGATCCAGAAGCAAATCGACATGATCTGTGCCAACACGCAGCTGCTTCAGACGAAAATCAACCAAGATCGTCAGGTCCGGTGCAGCAAGATCGCGGCCGACGCCCAACTAGAAATATCCAAGCTCACGGCCGAAACCGAGATGATCCAGGCCGAGATTGATGCGGCGTGCGAGGCCGACATCACCAAGATCCACGCCGAGCTGCACGCGCTTCGTTTGAAAATGGACGCCGACGTTGCGCAGATCCAAGCGATCGGCGAAGCGAAAGCAAAGGAAATCATTTCCGAAGCAGAAGGCATCGCGTCCATGAAACTGGCCAAACAACGCGCGTTCACACTTCAAATGCAACGCCTCGACGTCATGGCCGCGCTCGCCGCGAACGACCAAGTTGTCATCGCTGGCAATGGTTCCAACAACTTGATGGCGGACGTATTTGTCGCCCAGCAAAAGCACAACCTGCTCTTAAACATCAACGGCCTGCATGCAACACACGCGCAGTCATAAACACCGCGCACCACAACGAGACTGGAACACTTCAAGTATACATAAGCGTTAAAGCATTCTTCCCTGCATCCACGTCTGTCCATTACATCGCTCGTACGTGTGCTTGCTGGCTAGTGGAAAGGACCTAGCACATGGTCATTTGGCGATGTGACTTCGCCCACTTGCTGTTCCACAACTCGTTCCCCAAGGTTGCTGTAAACTCGGGGTCCGTCGTTTGGAAGTTTGCGAATACGCGCACATGCGCTCGCCTTAGCGTTGGTTGCTCAGCCGTCGCCCGCCCATGCAGCAGATGCTCCACTCGCCCGCTGCTCGCACCGACCTACTCGTCCGAATGGACATTTGAACGGTGTGCAGATCACCTTGATTTATCCGAAACTTGCCGGATACGCTACACCAAGTCGTGCCAACCACGCTAAGCCATCCCGTCACCGACGATGCCAGGTATACTTCGCCCCAGCGCATGACGGCCACTGCATGCAAGGGCTATTGTGTTGAAGTCTTTATAATGCCTATGCAGAGCCCAGCGTGAAGAAGATCAAGACAGATACAGCAGCAGTGCTGCATCCCGACGTGCTCGGCACGTCGGCGGAGGCACGGCGAGCGATCCGCGGCGTTTGCGCAGGCAATGCTCCGTTCCCTCATTACCAAATTCCTGTGCTGTGTACTGTCGAGCACATGCGCAAGGTACGCGTTGGCATCCTGGCTCTCTGGTCTTGTCGACTGGCTCGTGGTGGTGACTCCGATATCCTCCGGTCTGTAGGTGCACACGGAATGCGTCCAAGAGCTTCAGAGCACATTCAAAGAGACCGATTTGTTCAAACTGTACCAAACCATCGACTTGGGCAACTTGAAAGCGTCGAGTCCGCTGGCCAAGAAGCTGCCTGCCCTCATGCAACTGCGCAATGCCCTGGTATATACTGCTTTCCATGATCATCCGTTGGACCTAACACCGGCGAACGTCGTGTAGTACACATCGGAATTCCGGCAGTACATGGCCGATATCACGGGATGCGGCCCGCTCACGGACAAAGTCGACTGTGCCGCCAACGTGTACATGACTGGGTGCCACCTCCTGCCTCACGACGACGTGATTGGCACGCGATGCATCAGCTACGTCATCTACCTCAGCGACCCGGACGACGAATGGACAGCGGCCGACGGCGGTGCCTTGGAATTGTATCCACAAACCGTGCCGTCGTCCGGGATCCCGGCGTTGGTGCCGACCGCATTTGCATTGCCTACGTACAACTCCCTCGCGCTGTTTCCTGTCGCGCCCGGCGTCAGCTTTCATTCGGTGCAAGTACGACAAGTTGTGTGGCTAGTGTTGGTCCTCATGCGCTGGCATTACATTGCCATGGTGTCAACTAATCGGTATGGTCATTTCACTCTCTAGGAAGTGTACGCCGACAAGCCGCGCTTGTCCATTCAGGGCTGGTACCACCAGGTACTAGCCTATGCCATGAATATATCCCCTGCATGAACATAGAGTCACGGGGCGTGCGCTCGTTCGTGCTAGGACGGCGCGCCAGACGGTGTCGACGCTGCCACCGCCAAACAAGTCGCCGCTATTGAAGCTGCTCAACATCCGTTTGTGGCCCTCGTGACATCTCCAGGCGGCGACGATTCCGAAGAGCTCACGGAAACCGAAATGGCCGACCTGTCCAAGTTTATCAACCCCATTTACTTGAAAGAAGACACTCTCGAGCAGGTCCAGGAGGCATTCCAGCAGTCGGGCAGCATACAGGTGGGAGTTTGCTCTGGGTTTGAATCGTTGGGTCTCGTTACGTCGATGATGGCGTTCAGTTGTGCGGCACGTCCGTCAGGTTGTGTGCCTTGGAGTTGCTCCGAGGCTTCGTGTCTGGTGGCGTGTACACAGCACGGGGCCCTCTATCCAATTTGCTTGATTGATGTAGCTGCAAGATTTTTTGACGTCTCCGTGGGTGTCTGCCATCGACGCGGCTATGCGAGCAGCCGACAGCGCGGAGAAGCTCGGGCACGGACAAGTTCCCTCCTATACGGCCGGTTACGACCAAGCGGGTTCGTGGACTGCCCAGGGCCCGCTCTTCCTTCAGCGGTACCTTCGCTATACGGGCGCCGTGCCGGCTTCAATTCCAGCGCTGGACACGTCATGCCCAACCGTGCAGCCAGCGACGACTACAACAAACAATTCAGATCCGACCCCAGGGCAGCTCTTGGCGTTCATCCAGACGTTCCTGGTCCAGTGTCCAGCCTTTATCAAGTGGGTGTCTCTGGCCACGGGCGTCGCGCCCTCCGCCGCCCGGTCAGAAGTTCGCAGGTTTCGACCTGGGTTGGACTACACGCTGGCCCACCATGCGCCATCGTCCAAACCGTCGAGTCCTATCTTGGACGTTGTTTTGTGTTTTTGCAATGCCGAAGCAAGCGACGCTGCAGCGGACGACGACGGGCCGTGGACTACGTCGGGGTACGAGTGCTACGTCCGCGCCGAAGACGACGGCATCGGAGACGTCGCTGTATCGACTGACGACAACGAAGACGACGACGAACGTCATGCGCCTGTGCAAATCCCCGCGCAACCAAACACTCTGAGTTTGGTGGTCCGCGACACGTCCACGATGAAATTTGTCAAGTTTGTCACCTGTCGCGAGCCTGGCAGCCGATGGGATGTGAATGTCGAGTTTGAATTGCCTGCGCCGTAGGTGCAGTTATCGTAAGTTGATGCAACGAGTCGACTCGACTGGTCAACGTCGCTCTCCTTCTTCACTAGCATTTCAAACATCTCTGCGCCACACGCCGACGTCCGATTTAAAACACCAGCACTTGTATGTCGTTGCAATTTCACAACCGCTGGTCAGTAGATCGTACCCCAACACCGGCAGCCTCCATGGCGACGCAATCGTTCGCAAATCCCATGGATTCACCCCCGTGGCGCTCAGAAAATTTGTTGGGTTGGTTGGCGCCGTCGTCTTTCGAGGAGTTTGTTCACTGCAGTTCACCCAGCCTTTGTGTTCACTTGTGTCCAAACGATACAACGATGAATGGCTGTCGCTGACGATGAATGGCTGTCGCTGATGCTGGTGCCATCTCGGCAGTGCATTCGGGCTATGACCCTGCGCGCCCTTTCTCGTGACGGCGGTGTAAGGCACGCATGATCGCCTGCCTCGTGTCGCCGGTACGTTCGCCCACTTACACGAATACTTCATTACTTGCCAACCTGTTTTTTTGTCCGCCGTGGCCTTCCTGCGATTTTGGGCTAGCTGCGTTCGCTATCTTTTGCTTCGGCCGGTCGCATGCGGCGCACTCTGTTGCGCCCACGTCGTTGATAAGTGTGCAGTAGGTACAGCTCCATGGTACAAGGCGCGCTAACGTCAGCGTGATGGGTCCGGAAGCTGTTACGAGGCGTTCCATTGCTGTCATGGGAGTCCACGTTGTGTCGACAGCCTCTCGATCTACTTGAAGGAGGAAATCGCCAACAGATATGACTCCACACGCAACCGCGGGCAATGGTGGCTTGGTTCGATCCGAGTTTCGCGACGGTGCTTCCAGCTCTGTAATCGTCAAGTGCGTCAGATGAGGTGGTACTGCTTCAGTGGGTGTATTGCTGAATTGGTGGTCGCCAACCACAAGCCCGAGCCCACCATCTTCCGCAGTGAGACGAACGATGTAGCGGCATACACCATCCGGGGACGAATCTGCCGGCGCACGCAAGATTTCCCACGACGATGGCGGCGTCGCTCGTCCTGCTCGTGGGCTCGTCAGCATGGCAGCATGGGGGGTTGGGAACGATGGAGGCGAGGTGGCTTGGCTAGTACGAGTGGGGGAAGACGTTTGAAGCTCCTCGTCCTACCAAGAAAGCTTCGTCATGACACACGTGGCCACTTCGAGTCGTTGGTTGTTCGACGTACCAGTGCCTCGAGCGTATCCAGCGCGGCGAGCGACTCGACTTGCTCGGGTGCTAGCGGTGGTGACTTGGGTGAGATGGAGGCGACATTCGACGTGAAGACTTGGCACGCTAGCTTTGGACGACCTGGTTTCGGCGGCGACAGCTTGACTGCACTTGCTAGCGGGTCGAGCGGCAAAGGTGCGGCGGACGGAGCAACCGGTGCGGCGGGAGGGTGCTTGTGAGGACTCCCCGGCCGTGGTGACGTCGGTGCCAAGTGAACTTGCTGGGCGAGGGTTTCGAGCTGGTCAAATTTGAGCTGGTTCTTCTCCCAATAGAGAATCGTCGGTTGGTAGCACCCGCGCTCGATGCGCCGACGAACTTCTTCCCACGTGCCAATCTACGCCACCAGAGCGTGCATTAACGCGTCGAGAAAGCAAATCCAATGCAAGGGCTATCGAAACAAGACGCAAACGTTGTGCGAGTCGAGCTTGTCGAGAGGGCTGACGCCACTCCGCGCCATGCATCCAACTGCCTGTGCCGCCTACCCTGTGGACTTGGACGTCGTCGAAGAGATACCACTCGTTGCGTCCCGACTGGGACTGAAAAAAGCTCACGTAGTGGAGGCCATAGTAGCACACCATTCCTCGAAAGACGTAGATCGCCTCTTCTTTGGCCAAGTCGGCGGCATCTCCGCCGAGGTGGAAGATCTGCCCAAGGTCGAGTTCGTGGGGGATGATGTTGCCGAACGCTTTGAGTTCCGTGCCACCAACCGTTGTCGACGGCCACACAATGCTCACGGCAAACACAATTGGAAATTTCATGAGCCACCTACGAACCATCCGTCGAGCGAGGTTGGTCAAGCGCCCGACCTGCATGACAGTCACCAAGTTACCGATCCATGAGACAGGGGCCGGGACACTGGGTCTGGTCGCTGTCTGGGCACGATCGCCGACACCCTTCGTTCCACAGCGTTCGCAGCACCGCCTCAAACGAGTGCTGCTTCGCCGCGGTGGGGGAGCTCCCGCGGAAGATGGAGGATTTCGTCGCCGACATTGACACGAAATCGTACAGCTCGGCAAAGTAGACACGGTACAGCGTATCCTTCCACATCTCTGGCTCGGACGTGGCGCCGCATTTCCCACACCGATACATGTCAAACATGTTGGATTCGAAGAGAGCGTGGCCAATGCACTTGGGATTGCAGTCGGTGTCCTTGATTTCGATCGAGGACGCAAGGGACGCGGGCGGGGATACCAAGCGTGCGTCCGTCGCGTCTGTGGCCGTAAGAGCGTGGTGGCGGACTTGGTCAGTGTGCATGGACGCCAGGATGGTGTCGAGGGTTTCCGTGGCATCGGCCATCGCACCCAGCCGAAACCGATCTGTTTGCGAGCTCAGCATGTTGAGTGCCACGCGGACGTTGTCGGGCGCAAGCGCTTGCTCGTCGCTGAACTCGTAGTACGTGAATATTTCTTTGAGTTCGCAGAGGAGGCAAGTGTCGTGCACCGTGTGCAGCGTCGTGTGATCGCTCGTCTTGATGAGGACGCGGAAGCTGTCCAAGTGCCACAGAGACTGGATGATCACGTTTAAGAAGCAGTTGTTCTGTCCGATGTGGTTGGTCAGGCCTTTGTGCATGGACGTGTGCTTGAGCATTGCCGCGCGGTCCGTCATGATGCTGTGCAAACGGGTGCTTTTCAACCAATTCCCTCGACGATCTCGAGAGAATCAAATTCTTTGATGCGAAACAACTATTTTATGTACCATTCAAAAATATCTTGGAGTATGAAAGAATTAAAACCAAATCCATTGCCATCATAAAATTTAATACAAACCCACCATGCCAGCTGGACACTAGACATGCCAGGAATCCATTGCGAGGACGTCGACGGGGTGCAGGACTCTGCACCTCGAGGAGCCCATCAACTTGCACCTACATACAAAGTCACGCCGAGCATTCGGCTTCTTTCAAGATCTCCGCCGCGCCTTCCTCGCACGGACACGAACGCCCTGTCTTGTCCAACCTCCTTTCACTCTCTTGAGCTGTCCCTCTGTGCGATGTTGTCGATGGCTAGTTGTCGCCGCCGTGATCGAGACCAAGGATGTATCTAGGCGAGAGTTTCTTCATTCGTGCACTGTGTATGTTGTCACGGCTCCTCAGAACTAGCATGCCAACCAGCCACGTTTCAAGGTCACTCCTTGCACACGAGGCGCCATCCCTGATTTAACCAGGCTCAACGAACAACGCACGAGCGTAAAGAAGTTCCCACTTGCGCCACAGAATGAAAAATACTAGCCTCTATCCAAAGACGAAAAGGTCCTCCAGTGCCTCGCGGGAACGTTCGTTCCGTCGGCAGCGCCTTCTTTCCATGCCGCCGCGACCGTCCACTCTCGCCAACATTTGGCAGCACACTTCTCTACCATTCCAAACCGATCATCTTATTCGAGCCAAAAGCCCGTTATTTCCATATTGATGACGAGGGTCAGGTACTTGGCCAGCTCCGCCTTGTTCGTGTACAGTGGCAAGTCGATGCGGTTGAAGCACGTGTGACCTTTTGGCATGAGGCCGGTCGGGGGCGGGCCGCGGTTCACCATTTGAATCGTAAACCGACGGACGCGGCCGTCGGTCGATGTCAGCGCCTTGAAGCCTTGCACGGGCACCTACGCATCGTCCAGGTCGTCCCAATCATCGGCCATAGTTGGGTCGATATACGTACGCGAGACGTGCCGGTGGCAAACTGGAGGAGTCGCGCGCGCTCCTCGGGCGAAAACTTGGCAACTACCGACCAAAACCAGTCGACAACCGCCGTCTCCGCCACGCTGGGGGTCTCAAGCTTGATCCATCGAATTTCGCTGTACATGCGCCAGTCGTTCGTGTCGATGTCGGGCATCCCCGACAACAGCAAGTCAAACTCTTGATAGTCAAACACGGAAATCAAAAAGAGCGGCACAATGTCGTAAAATCCCTTGAGAAAGGCCGCCAGCGGCGACGCAATGCTGCCAAACATGTGAAACTTGAGCAAGAGGTCGAGGTACTCAGCCTTGTTGTCGTCCGTCACGTTGATGCTGGCGCCACCCGGGACCAACTCGATCACTTCAAAGTTGGTCAAGCCTTGCACGGTAAAGTCCAACGAGAGCAGTTCAGCTTGGTTGTTGCTCTTGAGCCACTTGCAATTCCGGTACAGCTCGTCGTCCTACCACAACGTCGCGGCGTCAAGCCACATGCACGATTGCCAGCCACGATCGAAAACGATCGATGGCAACAAAACCACCGCGTCAATGCTCGTGGCAATCGACGCAGCCGGCGACACACGCGTCCGGCGACTTGTCATGGATTTGCCAACTCCATTGCCCGGCAATACTCGCCGCATTGGGACCCAGGACATCGCAGCCTCACAAACCCAAACCATACATCGCAACCGCGGACGGTGCATTCGCAGTCCCGCATCCACACACGGACGAGATCGATCCACGTACCAAGAATTCCAAGTCGGAAAACGAGATCGGCACCTCCAGCATGTGCTTGATCAAAGGCAGCGCGAGTGACATCTTCATGTTGAAGCCTTCAATGAGCGCTTTTCCAATCAACCGCCCGACAAACTCAAATTCTTGCTGGTAGTTGGGACGCAGGACAGCTTTCGGGTTGATCCAGTAGGCCAGGTTGGACCCTTTTGTCGCGACAAACAGACCCATTTCGTCGCTGAAGAGTTGGTCGCACAGGAGCTCGTACCACTCGCGAATCAACCCGCCGGCATCTAGCCCCGGTTCATTCTCAAAAAAGATGCGCAGACGCTCCCAAAAGCGCGACGCTGGGCACTTGAGCGTCTGCTCCATCGAGTCGGCAATCAAATGGTCGCGCCGGACCACAAACTGGATGTGGCCGTCTTCGTACCGCCGCCATCGTTTCTGGACTTGCTCGAGAAACCAGTTGTTCTTTTCAAAAAACGTAAGCGCGGCGATCTCTTCCAGGTCGTCGTCGCAGTCGGGCTGGCGTAGCGCCCCGTTGACAACGACCCCCAATGCCGGCGCGAACTCGGTGGCGCCGTCGGCAGTCGTGTGGCGGACGTATCCTGTTGACAACGCCGTCATGTTGTTGCGGCGCTCGTCTTCCGAGATCGCGGTGAGGGGAAAGCTAGTCTGGCCTTGGCCCCATCCAAAGCCTGTGCCGGGTGTCGCAGCGGCATGGCCTTTGCGCGACGCCTGCTGTGGCGGCGCATGGAGCATATCGCCCGTAAACATGGATTGGCGTTCCTCGGCATCTTCCAGTTGCTTGAGGGCCGTCGACCGTAGCGGATTCTGCATGAATGGCGTCGCGCTGCCCACCGATTCCTCCTCCGTGTAACCGAGGTCACGCATCGCCAGCGCCACGTGAGTATCGTGCGCTTCTTCCTCTTCCGGCAGCGACGACCCTGTATTCGAGATCGGGCTCAGCATGTCGACGAAGTCGTGTCCTTCGCCCATCATTTCCATGTCGATGGTGCTCTCGCGCGTGGGGTCGTTCGCGTCTGCGTCAATGCGGATCCAGTGCATATTACCATCGGGACCTTTCTTCCGCCGCCACAAATGACGGCGCATCGCAGCCTTCTGCCTCGCGGTCAAGTCCATTTGCTTGAGGCGACGGACGTGGAAGGACCGAATGCGACTCTGTTGGTCGAGTACGACGGACCTCGACTTGTGCAGCGTCGGGTTGACAAAGTCCGACTTGCGCAGACCGGACGGTCGTGGCAACGATGCCTCGTAGTACTGTTCCATCGTGTCCACCACGACCTGTGGTGTGCCACACATGACGCATTCCTTCTTGCTCGGATGGTTGTCGTGGAAGCAAATCGAGCACGTCCACTCCTTCTCCCCACGCGCGACAAACGTGTCGATGAGGTCGTGGCGCATCATGTTGTTGTGTCGGTTGTCGTTCTCGAGGAACCTCTCAATTCGCCGCGCATAGTTCCAATAATAAATGATGGCACCGACCAAAAGCACGAGCGCCAGGCCTAGCAGTGCGTACACAATCGCGGCAGTCGTCGCCGACAGCTGAATGCCAAACAGGACAGCCATCGCGGACAGGGGAGAAGGCGGTAGGCGGGCGTACTTGCTCTTCCTGTGGAAGAGTCAGTTGGGAATGACCTAATTTCTACACAAGTATGATCCGGATATATGATTCATTATCCGAAATATCGATGGTGGAATTCAAGATATATCTGTTATACTTTTGATGGCAATATATTCGGAGACATCTGACAACGGTGATGAAACGAGCGACCTGTGCAGAATAGAAGGAACCATTTTTATTTTACCGTCGTGGACTGTCTATACGAGCTCCAGGATCAAGATGCAGCAGTAGTGCGATGCCAGGTTCCTCGTCTGGCCGCCGTGATAAATTAGCGACGGCGTGTTGTCGCCGTGATAAATTAGCGACGGCGTGATTGTCGAGAGAGAAATATTTTTCTCTACTGGGGAGAATCAGGTGGTATGCAACGCATCTCGTCTTATCCGGATGATACTGCACGGATACGAACGGCTTCAGGCGTAATGTTGATGTATTTTCCAAGAGCACAGCGAGCGCCAGCCAGGCGACACGAGCGACATTGATGCCAGGCCACTTCAGCACAGCTTGCATAGCAGAGCTGCATTCGTCCGGCTTCGCTGGAGGCTCATGGTAACATGCGGAATGCGTGAATTAGCATGTGAGACGTGGAGTCTGGGGCTGAAGGCCATCCTTTTTCTTGGTGGAGTCGAGCTGCCTTGACTGTTCTGTGTCAGGTCAAGCCATCATGCTCCATGGGGCGGCAACGGTGTATAAGTGGTGTAGATGTGGGCCATGGGTGTCCATCGTGGCGCTACCCACGCCGAAGACACCATTCAAAAGATGTGCATCGATGTAGGGTTAGAATTAAAATGCTAACGACACGAGCGCGACGGCCGTGACGAGAAAGGACAAGTACAGAAACACGGTCGCAAACTCCAGTGAACTCAAAAAGGGCAGCCCAAACGGAGTCATCGCTGCCAAGTTCGACTTGAACGTTCGCCTGCAATACTTGATCCCAATGACTTGAAACCAGGCTGGGATGATGAGACCGAGACCAAATCCCAGAAACCCAGCGTAGGTGAATATTGCATCGAGCTTCTTGAAGAGGGCGGCTAGAACCAGTGGGGGGAGTGTGGCCATCAACCGAGCAAGCATCCACGCTCGCGACGGACTCATCGGCGCGGTCCATGTCTTCGGAAGGGAGGTCAAGATGTTGCCGCCGACAGTTAGACCCACTAAGGGGTACGTCGACGTGATGTTGACCACGGGGAACATGATGACCAAGACATGCACAACTAAACCGATCCACGCCGGTGACTCCGGGGGGCACCGCGACCAGCCATTTCCACACCCAGTGTAGTCCAGCCACATCAAACTGGCAAGTGGGTTCACTTCATCGAACGCAATGGCCCCAAGAACACCCAGCAAGAGATAAAATACCGCGGACACCGTCATTGCAATGAACGTGATCTTTCGCGCCTTGAGCTTTTCCGAGGCATGCAGTGGCTGTAGTGCGGTGGGCATGTTGTACTGGCAGTTGAGAGCGAGCAGCGTAGGTCCGAACCCGGCGCTAAAGTTGTGCCAATTGAATGCCCACTCGCCACGAGAGGCGACGCGAGCTACGACCAGGTCCTTGCCGTCGTGGGCTAGCTTGATGAAAAGAGTGACGAGCATGACGGACAGAGCGACGATGCGGTACACAGACAGGAATTTTTGGATCATCGCTTGGTCGCCCATGTCCATGAGGACCAGCACAACCACAAGCACAGTGAACAGCGCCATGCTGATGTAGTACATGTCGATACAGGGGATGGAAGCGTCGATGGCGTAGACGTTGCACGACTCGCCCCACGCATATGTAAACACGAAGGACGCAATCGACGACGCGAAAATCGAGGCATATGCCCAGAGAGAGCCGAGGCAGTAGAATAGCATGACGGTTTGCACGATGTGGTACCCCATGTCCCGTGCAAAGAGGCCACCGATTTCGCTAAAGTTGATGCGACGGTACGTGAGGCAGTTGTCAGGCAGGTTGCCGACCGTGGTGTGCGACACGATCCCCTCCGCGCGGGCCATGGATTCCAACGTGTAGTTCATAGTGATAAGGGCCCCCGCGAACCCAAGGATCAAGAACGTGGCAGTGAGGCCCAGCCCCGCCGATGCAAACGCGAAGGGGAGACCAAAGCACCCCGTGCCAATCATGTAGTTGAGCGTCATTGCCACAGCGACGACGGCCCCAAAAGGGCGAACGCCCATCGCAGCAGGGTCGAGTGGATTTAGCAGCACCAGGTCGCCCGAGGCGACGCTTTGCTTTGTCGGCGTGAGTGGGGTGTCCATGTTGATCGTTTGCAAAAACGCAAAGTGCAGCAACAAGCCCATAAATTGCGGACATTTCACACGTGCTTCGTGTCTGATCTAACATACTTGAATTGAGTATGTCATAGTTACCAACAAACGACCGTTGGAACGCATTTCTTTGAATATCAGAAGAAATGGCGCATTTTTTAAGTAAATATTGCACGTTCTTTATTAAATTCCTTCGTCACCTAGATGCGCAGACAGCCTCCCCAACGCAGCTACAGCCTCCCGCCTCGCGGTGATGCACGGCGAGTGAATCAATCATGCCTTGAACTAAACATCGCAATGTCCTCCGCACACAATGTGACGATTCGCTGACATCGAAGCGGTCTGAGTAACGAATCGAACCTTGCGCTCCTATTGGCCGAAGTGAATGAGACACAAAACATTGAAGACGACTGCCAACAAGCATCGAAGGGACGTGAGGTCTAACACAAATCGTTTTTGTTTTTGCCTTCAAGGACTTCGTCGCCTGAACACATGCTGCTTCCCACGACCACCTAAAACAACAACACAGGTTAGTTCATGTCGTTACCAGCCCAAACCACGTCAACAAGGAGGATCAAATGTCGACGGCCAAGCTCACGAAGCAATTATCGCAACAGGAAGATGTACGTCAAAGAACGCCTCGTGGCCAAGGGACAACTCGGGGCGATTCAAAACTATGTCACGGACAACTCGGCCAACCAACAGGCACTTGCGATCCTAATCGGCGAATTGGTCCCAAGTCAATTTTACAATTCATCCGCCAACACGAAGTGGGAACCAATGAAATGAACCACAATAGAGTGCTGATTTCCCCCGCAACGGAGCATATTTGGTAAATGTTTTGTCTTAAATTTATATAGAGATCTATGAATTACTTCCTCTGTTCGATATTACTAGTAGTGACGACATTTGACTTCAACGGCACTCCAAAAATCGAATTCTTCACCAAATTCGATGAATCATATCATGTTCGACGGAGAATCAAAATCTAAAGAATAGGTCTATTGACTGCAGAGCGCGAAAAGGAAGTTTTGGCGCTCAAATTTGACTTTGCCATCCGTCATCCGAATAAAAATTCAAAATCAGGTGCATCAAAATTAAAATTTCGGGGACCTGAGCACGACGACATCATGGTCCGACAACCCACCGGCCGAGAACTCTCCTCTCCTACACCAAGAAGATAGACGTAATCCGTCGACTCTATGAGCGCTCGTCCATGGGAAAGCTGGCCCATGGAGCAATCAACTCAACGGCCTCCGACATGGGCATTCACAGAACAACTGTCGCTCGGGTCTGGAAGGACTTCCACAACAACGTCTTGATGCCGTCCCGCAAGAAAGGTCGTGTCGGCCGCACGCCAATCTACACGTCAGAAGTTGTTGTTGCAATGGTGCGGGAGTTGCCGCAATCTCTGTGCACCACCATGTGTGAAGTTTCCGATGCAACGTGAATTCCAATATCGACACTCCACCGGCATTTGAACGCGGGAACTCTCCGACGCCGATCAACGCGCATCAAGCCTTTGCTCAACGACGACCACCACAGATCGCAGCGTCTTGCATTTTGGAATTTGATGCCATGTGGGACGATGTTCACCTCGATGAAAAGTGGTTCAATGCTGATACCAACGTGCGGAAGGTGTACCTGACGGATGGAGAAGAGCCCGAGCAACGTGCATGGCCAAGCAAGAAGTTTATCCCTAAGGTCATGTTCCTTGCCGCAGTCGCGCGGTCCCGATACGACGAAGAGCGTGGCACCTACTTCGGCGGCAAAGTTGGCATGTGGCCAATCGTTGAGTATGCACCAGCGGTTCGAAACTCGCGCAATCGTCCTGCGGGCACGATGGTCGCGACTTTGGTGAATGTTGATGCTCCTTTGTACCGCGAGTACATCTTGACACGTGTTGTTCCAGCAATCAAGGCTACCTTTCCTACCTCGAACAAGCGTGTTGTGCTCCAGCATGACAATGCCACACCTCACGGCGGCATCACGAGCGCAGACCTTCTGAGCGTGTCCACTGACGGTTGGTCCTTTGTTGTTCGCTGCCAGCCGCCGAACAGTCCAGACTTGAATGTCTTGGATCTTGGGTTCTTCTCGTCGCTTCAAACCCTTCAACACAAGTTGGTGAGTCGTTCGTTAGACGATGTCATTCATGCCACACTCGCTGCTTTTGAGCTCAGCGGCGGCCATACACTCGCTAATGTGTTTCTCACCCTGCAAGCCGTGATGCGCGTTATGCTGGAGAACAATGGCGGCAATACCTTCCGATTGCCTCATTTGCGTAAGGATTCATTGCGCCGTGTCGGGGCACTCATGCCCAACGTCTCCTGCCCAGCTTCATCGTTGGTCTAAGGGTCCACTCGGGTTTTTAACCAATTACATGCTTCTATTTTTGAGTTGACCAATTGTATTGATATGTCGCAAGTAAGCTGGAAAAAGTCACATTTGCAAGTGTCGGCGGTATTTCCGAACAGAGGAAGTATGAGATTAGAGAGCTTTCGGTCGGCTAAATATCAGATTAGATTCAAGATCCGAAACCTGAATTCTTTTTTAAACCTGAAATCACAAATTTCGGTATTGATTTTTGGCTTCAGATTGAACCAAAGTCAACATAAAATCGTCTTTCGGGACCAACCAAACTTCA